GTGGATCATTAATGTTTAAAATTTAGAGTTCTGTTGTATGTGGCAGTAGTCCATCCTGTCGTGTTTCTTCCTACCCCTTTCACTTCTACTTTAGGCTAGCAAGAAGACAAGAGAATGGGGGAGAATTAGAACCAGTACAGAACAATGTTCAGAACAGTGGTCAAGGATTTTAGAGTACTTCCTTGTCTGTCTGTCTGTTTCTCTGTCTGTCTTTTTCTTCTTTCTTGATTTTTCGAGGCAGGGTTTCTCTGTCCTGGCTGTCTTGGAACTCACTGTATAGACTAGGCTATTCTGTCTCTGCCTCTAGAGCTAGAGATAGAGGTTCTGGGATCAAAGTCATCACCACCACCACACAGCTTTTCTTTCTTTCTTTTTTTTGTTTTTTGTTTTTTGTTTTTTGTTTTTTGCTTTTTGAGACAGGGTTTCTTTGTATAGCCCTGGCTGTCCTGGAACTCACTCTGTAGACCACACTAGCCTCCAACTCTTGAACTCAGAAATCCTCCTGCCTCTGCCTCCCAAGTGCTGGGATTAAAGGCATGGGCCACCACCGCCCGGCCCGGCTTTCTTTTTATTTTAATGACAACTAAAAAAAAAAAGAATTGCTATGGGTGGGGATGGTGCAGTGGTTTATTTGAGGCCATGGGGTAGTGTCTGAATGGAGGCTTTACTTAATTGTTGTATTTGCTCAGATTTGAGAAGGGAAAAGAATGGGTATATACTGAAATGTCACAATTTAGGAAATAAGTGTTGGGTTATAGACTTTTCTGGGGAGGCACAATCCTCCCTCCTTCCCCACACAGGAAGCCTAGGACAGAGCAAAGTATGAATACCACCAAAGTCCATGTTTTTGAACCAGTGAGTTTTACTGGGGCTTCTTAACAGGAATATGAATGGGTGAAGGTTTACTGAAGGAACAAAAGTATCTTAGACAGCTGTATCGCCAAAGCTAACAAAAGCTGAAAACGTGGAGCTCCCTGGACACTCTGCAGGCAGCTCAGTAAGTTGGAAAGTGCCTTTTGCAGGTGTCTCTAGCCCCTAGCTGGTAGCCTTGCTGGTGTGGTCCTAGTAGTCTTCTCAGTTTGGCTTGTCCGAGACTGACAGCAATCTGTTTTACTCTTGGGGGACGGGTAATGAAGGTGGTCAGTTTCAAGGATTTTGGGAAACAAAGCATTGCTTACTTTCTGTGTTAAGACTTCTTTCATGCAGGGCGGTGGTGGCACACACCTTTAATCCCAGCACTTGGGAGGCAGAGACAGGGGGATTTCTGAGTTCGAGGCCAGCCTGATCTATAGAGTGAGTTCCAGGACAGCCAGGGCTACACAGAGAAACCATGTCTCGAAAAACAAAAACAAAACAAAACAAAAAAAAGACTTCCTTCAGGAATATTTTAATCTAGTAATGAACTGCTGTATAACATCAAGCAGTATAGGTACTTACAGTATTTTGATGATGAAAATGAAGTATTTAAGGACTTTCTGGTCCCCCTTCTTTCTGGGGATGACTAAAATTTATCCTTTGGATAAGCATAGAGAAAGAAGGGCTGACTCTTGAATACTTTGCAGACTAGTCAGTGAGCACTGTTGACTGGGTGTTCTCTCTCTCTCTCCCCCTCCCTTCCCCCCCCCCCCCCCCCCCCCCGCCCCCCCCCCCCCCTTTTTTTTTTTTTTTTTTTTTTTGGTTTTTCGAGACAGGGTTTCTCTATGTAGTTCTGGCTGTCCTGGAACTCACTCTGTAGACCAGACTGGCCTCAAACTCAGAAATCCGCCTGCCTCTGCCTCCCAAGTGCTGGGATTAAAGGCGTCCGCAACCACCGCCCTGCGAGAAGTCTTTGTTTTTAAATTTAAGTTTTGAGACAATCTTAAGTATCTTAAGTATGTAACTCTGGTTGACTTGGAACTCCAAACCCAGCTTTACACAGAGAAACTCTGTCTTGAAAATGTTACACACACACACACACACACACACAGACACACACACAAATTGTAAAATAGTACTTTGACTTTTTATTTTATGACCTGCTCTCTCTTGCTTTCTACTTGTTATAATTTAATTTTGCAAGACCTATGCGACAAAACACCAGATTAATGAATTAAAATGTGGGGCTAGTTAGAGCAGCAGCTATTCTTCCCTGTTAGAAGGAAAAGGCAAGTATTGGGCCTTTCAAAAGGAAGTCCTGGCCTCTGGAAGAGGATAGGAAACTCATAGCATATGGGTGATGATGTCCTGAGGTGGGATGAAGAGGCATGTGGTCATGTCTGGCTCCCAAGTCAGCTTCATGTGCTCTGATGAAGGGGTTATGTAGGTGGCAGAGATGGCTGAACAGTTAAAATGCTGCTGTCCTTGTGTTCCCAGCACCCACATGGCAGCTCACAGAACTCCAGAGACATAAGACAGCCATGTGGTGTCCATGCAGACAAACATTCATACAGGGAAGCCCAGATGGAGAAAGTTAGGCAACACTGGCAAGTGCCACAAAGAAGAAAAGTTAGCATAACCTGCCAGCTAAAGATTTCTGAAGAAAAGAGAGGCAGAGGATACAATAACTTGGAAGAAAGTCCAGTCTTGGTGGGAAAGGTTGGCTACTGACTGTAAGTACAGCCAACCTTTCCTCTTGATGGTGAGAAAGGCTTTGTTTCCTAGGTCAGACATTTCTTAGAGAGCCTATATTTTTATCCTCCAATTTCTTTTGATTTTTTTTTTGGTAGTTATGTTTTTAAAGGAAGAATTTTGGATGGATAGCTGGCCTAGTGTCAGTAACCTTATTGTATAGAACTCCTATAAGAACAGACAGCTTCTTGATTCATCTGTGAGAATATTTCTTTTGTTTTTGTTTTTGCTTTGGTTAACTAGGTGAAATTTTAAATGGAGTTTGTGGTATCCTAGCAAAGCAAGCTTTAGGAAACGAGGCTTTTTCAGCATAGGAAGTAGAAGACAGTAGATAGGGAAAGGGTAATACCAGTTTCTAGTATAGGTGAGATGGGTCACTTGAGAACAGGGAGGCCTGGAAGGAGTGATAAAGTAAAAGAAGGTGTAACGGAGACCTGGGAGGGATGGAGAGCAGAGAGAGGGAGAAGGGTGAGACATGAAGCTGGAAGGGTGTGTTTCCCTCTAATCCTACTTCTAGTTTCTTTGGGAAATATGAACAAGATTTCTAGTGTTCTGACTAAACCTGTATTTCTATTTTTTTAAAGTGTCCAAGAATTGTTTAGTGTTTTTTCATATAAGATAGATAACACAGTAAGATATAGACCAATGTGCTTTTCATATTCTGCCTGTAGTTTTTTTAAAGTTTATTTTTTTAAAGTTTATTTTATGTGTACGTGTATTTTGCCTGCCTGCATGTATGTATGTATACTATGTGTTTCTGGTGCCCTTGGAAGTCAGGAGAGGGTGTTGCATCCCTGAAACATGGAGTCATGGATGGTTGTGAGCTCTACCGTGTTAGTGCTGGGAGTCAGTCCTAGGATGAAGATCACAGCAACAGGCCCTTTTAACTAGGGGCCAGCTCTGCAGTGCCTGTTACAATGACACTTTGTGATCATCCTGCCTCAGGCTTCTAAGTTCTGGGATCATTTAGGTGATACCCAGCTTGTTTATATTTGTATTCTTAGCAAACATTAAGCAGTTGTTACTGCTTAATAAGCACAGTTTGTTGCCTGTAGGTTTTGAAGTATGTGATAGAAAGCAGTACTGCTAATGTAGTTATATATACAGTGTATTGACAATTGAGACAAACTAACATTCTAAGTCTTAAAGGTTTTTCTATTTATTTTTTCTTTTTTCCCTTTGACTGGGTTTCTCTGTGTAGCCTGGCTGTCCTGGGACTCGCTCTGTAGACCAGGCTGGCAGCAAACTCACAGAGATCCCATGCCTCTGCCTCCTGACTGCTGGGATTAAAGGGGTGCAGTACCATGCCTTGGTTAGTAAGTTGGATTTTAAGTTTTGTCTTTCTCTTGGCTCAGGCCTAGCTCAACCTTTACATTTACTTTCTAGAAATTGTCTACCAATCCCTGGAAGGTGGTGGCTAATAGGACAGCAGGTTTAAGAGGCTCCTGCTTCAGGAGTCTTGTTTTCAGGTGTGCAGAAATGGCTTCTTTCAAAAATATCTTTTCTAGCAGTGGCAGAGACTCTAGCTTCAGAAAGCAGAGAGATGGATTGTTGGTCATATCTGAGAAGACAGCAGATGGCAAAGGGCTTTTGCTGTTTTGAAATTCACAGTGACCTAAAACTTGCCACTTTTTTTGACCTGTGAGTTTGTGGCTTGATGGAAATGGCTATTTTTAGTACCCTGTCTCATGTTTTATCCTCATTGTTAAAGCTATCTTACCTCTGTGATTACTATTATATGTATGTGTGCGCGTGTGCATGCATGAGTGAGTGGGAGTCAGTTCTTTCCTTGCACTGTGGGAAGTGCCTTAATCCAGCCATCTCAGCAGGTAATGACCTTGGAGCTGATGGAATGGAAACTTGACTAGGTTGTATCTAGCTGTGCTTTAGTGAGATGTGAGGAAGGTTTCTTGTGTTGTCTGCTATTTCTTTCTCCCGTGTTTGATATTTGGGGGCTTCCTGGAACTGCCTTCTATAGATGTTGGGGTACTCAGTACAGTTTACAGCTTGATCTCTTGGAGTTACCCAAGAGTGCTGGTTTAAACTGGCCTCCCTCATACTTGCCTGCTGAAGGAGACGGAGCCCTGTTATAGATCAGAGACTTGCCACTGAGCCCCATTGTGCTGATCTCTGCTTATTAAAGCATATGAACAGTAGCTAGCATTCTTGTTATGTGGTATAGTTCATGCTTTGAAAATGAAGACAGTAGGTAGGGTAACATAGGGATTATTTCTGAATCTTGTTGGTTAAAGGTGAGTGAATGTTTAATCCCTTGAGTTTTGTTACTGTGCTTGTTGCTTTCTTAAAGTAAATATAGAAAAGACTTTGTGTATAATATGTATGTAATATTCATAATACTGACATAAAGCTTTCCCTTCTATTCTGAACACTAGGTACGCTCTATGGATGAATTAAATCATGATTTTCAAGCACTTGCTCTGGAAGGGAGAGCTATGGGCGAGGTAAGTGAGCTGGTGTGGCTGAAAGTGGGTGTTCCTAGGGAAGCTTGGACTTGTCTTTCATCAGTTGTGTCTGAATCTAGTCTCTAGAAATCTGTGCTTGCTTTTCCTTGTTGCCATCCTCACAGTAGGAATAGGATTTTGGAGAATTGTGCCAAAACTCTACTGGTAGAGGGTGATTTAGTAGCTTAGTCCAGTTACTCAAACTGCAAAGCACCAAATATGAGCACTAACAATAAACATATTAATAAGTTAGTTGTACTATGAAGTGTTCAAAAATAATTTATATTCATCAGGTGTTCTTACCTTGACCTCAGTTTTCAGTGGCTAGGTGCTTTCACAGTTGGGGATGGAGTTTAGCTGTGCTGTTAATCAGAGGATGTCAGTGGCCTGTGTTCTTACACTACTGCTCTTTAAAGGCTGTTACTCAGGGCTCCATTTTGAATGTGGCTGTTTCTTAGGTTTCTTACTTACAGATAGAGATCTCAGTTGGTCAGAACAAATCCAGAAACAAGAACTTTGGTTTCTTTTTAGCATTTAATTTTTTTTCATTATATTGAATTGCCATTGGTTAGAAGGAAAATGTAGCTAATATACAGCCAACTCCTGAATGAAGGTTCAGCTTGTTGCCAGGAGTCATATACTGATGACAAATACAGTAGATTGTTCAAATGTACTGCTGAAGACTGCAGAGCTCCATTAAGAGGCCATTTACTTCTGATTGACACTCTGGACAGTAACCCTAGGGTTATCTGTTTTCTTCTGTACTTAAAAAGCTCTCCTGTCTACTTCAGTATTTTGAAGGTGGGAGAATGACTCTATTTTAGACTTTTCCCTTGTTCCAGCCATTAGATAACATTTGTTTGGTTTAGTGAATGCTGTTTGGTCCTGGCATTGTGCTGAGTTTGGAAGATCAAGAAGTAATGTAGTCCCTTTGCTGAGCTTACACGAAGTCCTCCTTGGTGCTGCTCTCTGGCTTCTACTGCTTTGTCCTGAGAGAGTTGCTCATTTTGTTGGAAGATTTTGCTTTGAAGCTTTCTGAATTTTCTTGTGGTCAGAGAGGCTAGTGTCTGCCTTACCTACCATCTTGGATTCTGAATTGTAGGAAATGATTTGATAAGTGTACTTGTGTTAGCTTTGCTTGCCTACTGTCATTGGAGCAGCATGTGCTGATAAACTTGATGTTATTGGGTAAAGGACTTTGTTACTTAATTTCTGGAGTAAGTTTTGAAGAGAAAATTAACATTTATGTTACCTGTTAAATTGGAAGATAAACTATAGCTGTGGTTCTGACCTATTCTTTGTTTAAAGTCCAGTTCTACAGCTGAGCATGTTAGCTCCTGCCTTTAATCCCAGGATTGGGAGACTGAGGAAGAAGGAGCTTGAGTTCAAAGTCAGCCTGGATGTTGTAGTTGAGTGTATTAGTTAGTTTTCTGTTGTGACAAAATGAACAAGGGTAATGTAAGGAAAACAAGAGTTTATTCGAGCTTCTGGTTCCAGAGTGTGAGGCATGGCCACAGCTCCGGAAGCTGAGAGATCACACCTTTTATCTCAGCATAGACACATGCACACTGAACTGGAAGTGGGGGAGGAGGCTTTAACATACTCTCAGAGCTGCCACAGGGGCATACTCTTTAGTGTCTGTTACTAGTTGGAGACCAAGAGTTCATCTGTGCTTGAGCCTGTTAGACACATTTTTTTTATTTAAACTACCAGTACACCAAACAACACACTCACAAAGAAACAGTGGCAACAACCATTTGTTAACTGATTTTTTAGGCAGATATTAACTACTTTTTACACATTAACTTATCGGTTCTCACTGAAGACTGAGTTTTATTGTCTACACAAGGAAAGCTCTTACTCCCTCCTCAAGCTCAGATGACTCGCACAAGTTATTTTTCCAGACTGAAGTGAAACAAGTGAAATCCGGACTGAGGGAAACAAGTCTCTGTGAAGGAAACAAGAAGGGCCTAGAGAGCACATCAGTATCATGAGGCGGTTCCAGGCTGAGAGGCGGCTTCTGGTCAGATGAGAACCTGCTTACATGCAGATTGAGAGAATTCCCCTCATCATGCCGGGGACAGTAGTAGTACACCAGAAGCATAGCAATGTGCTTTTATACTAAAATTTGAGCTTCTAATTACTTGATTTTTCTTCCCATTTAGCAATAAAAGATACTCTCTTGTAGGGAATAATATAGTATTTATACTACTACAAACTTTAATCTCAAGTGGATTGGATAAACTTTTAAACTGGTGGGATGTGTGTTTGTGAGGGATGAGGGGGGATACTCAAGTACCTGAATATATGGATCTTTACATGTCAAAGCACATTGGCTCCCTTGTAACTGATTTCTATTAGTGTTAGGGCTGCTTTACTCTGTTTAAAGCCTTTGCCATAGCTCTTAGTACAGAAAGATTTCCAGTATTTTTTTTTTTTTTTTTTTTTTTAGTAGAAATTTTGCTAAGAAGTTTGTGTTGTTGTTTTTGTTGTTTTCCCCAGACAGAGTTTCTCTGTTAGCAGCACTGGCTGTCCTGGAATTCTGTTTGTACACCAGGCTGGCCTCACTCACAGATCCACCTGCCTCTGCCTCCTAAGAACTGGGATCAAAGGTCTGTGCCACCACTCCCTGGGAGGAGGTTGTTATTTAAAATACCACACTTAACATGTTTGCTCGTTGTCTCAAATGCAGCTGTTTTTGTTTGAAAATTTTTTTTTGAAAAATTTAGTTAGTTTTACTATGTGTGTATGGATGTTTTACCTGAGTGTGGTACCTGTAGAGGCCAGAAAGAGGGTGTCAGAGACTCTGGAACTGGAGTTATTATAGTAGGCTATGGGTTTTCATGTGGGTGCTAGGATTTGAAGCTGGGTCCTCTGGAAAAGCAACTATGCTCTTAACTATTGAACCCTGAAGTATCACTGTTTTAGCTGAAGGGGTCCCTTTCTCCTTGTATAGAGTGTGAATTAAACTAGCTCCCATGGCTTTTACTGGCTCCTTAATTCAACTTAAGAGTCCTCAAAAGTTTAAAGAAGACAGTTACGTGACTGAGCAGCTTAGTGTTGGTGTGGATTCAGAAGAGTATTTTTGTAATAATGGGAAAACTTATGGACTGTTATTCTCTTGTCACCCAGACCAGATATCTGGCAGTAACAAAATAAAGGAGGAATTCTTATTTATTTATTTATTTATATTTTTATTTTATGTGTATGGGTGTTTTGCCTTCATAATATGTCTCTCTACTCCAGAATTATTTCTTTTAGCTCTGTTTCAGAGAGTTTGGAAACATATAACAGAGGGGCTTCTTTATGGCAGACAAAAAGCAGACAATGAAAATGGCATATAGGAAGAGGCCATGGTGACAGAGACCCCTTAGGAACATGGCTCCAGGGACTCTTACCTAGCGCCCGCCTCTGCCTTTCCCATCCTCCCCAAAATGTTATCCTTACATTCATGATATCAGTCTCTGAAGGTGCCTTGATGCACCCAGAATGCCCTCTATTTGGTCCTTGGTCTATTCTGAATCCAGTCAGGTTGACTGACACTCAGCTCACCTATCATGTTGATGTTAGGTCTTAAACTTCCTACCTTGGCTTCCCCATAGTCTCTGCTTTCTGGATGGAAGTGTAGTAAGGACATGACTGCCTAGGTATTTGTGAAAAATAAAGAAACACTGTGAGAATCAGGTATTTGTGAAAAATAAACACTGAGAATCGTTGGTAAAAAAGATCCTTTAATCTTTGTTTTTTCTATTGTTCTTTATTTGTGGTCTTAAAATTTTATTTACCTTTGGATAGGGTCTTTTTTCTCCTCCCTCCCCCCCACTCTCTCTCTCTTTTTTTTGACTGGGAACTCACTCTGTAGACCAGCTGTCCTCAAGTTAAGAGGTCCACCTGCCTCTGCTCCCTGAGTGCTTTAAGGCCTGTGCTACTGCAGTAGGCCTGAGGTAGTCTAATTCTTCTGGAACTCACTGTTTCCCAGGCTAACTTTAAAATGGTAGCAGTTCTCTTATCTCAACTAACCAAGGGCTGAGGTTACTAGCATAAGCTAGCTGAAGTTTTCTAATCTTTATAGAACAAGTGACTATTTTTTAGGATGTTGGTGATGGAAATAGGGTCTTATGTAGCTCAGGCTGGTCTTACACTTCACATGTAAGTGACCTTGAACTCAATCACACTGATCTAAGATTCCATAATGTTTTATATATCCAGAATAGTCTTAATGGTGTAGGCTGCCATCTCATTTCTGGATTAAACAATGCATTTAGGTGGTAGCTCTTTATCCTTTAGAAAAATATTACCCTTGGTGATAGGTTTTAAATATGATTGAGAAAGGGCTGGAGAGATGGTTCATTGGTAAGAGCACTGATTGCTGTTTCAGAGGCTCAGGTTCAGTTCCCAGCAATCAGATGGCAGCTTGCAACCATCTGTAACTCAGTTCTAGGGGATCTGAAACTCTCACACATAATATATGCAGGCAGAAATGCCAGAGCACATAAAATAAAAATATATCATGAAAAAAATCAGATTGAGAAAATCTAGAACATTCCCTGTATTTGGAGTGATAAAAGAGTCTTTCTCTATTCACCAGAAGTAGACTTTAAGCAATAATTGCAGATACCAGAAATTACAAAGAAATAATATCTCTGGATGTGAGATAGCAAATTTGGGGGCCAGGGTCTCACTATGTAGTCCAGTATGTCCTCTACCTCCTGAGTGCTGGCAGTAAAGCAGATACCACCACATAGACTGAGAGGAGGGAGTGATTTGATAGTGATGCAGGAAACTGCTTACTCAGAGAAAGTAAAACTTGGTCGGATAGAACCGGCACAGAGCCCAAGGCCCTTAGCCAGTGCTTCCATTTGTGCTTCAAACATTTATCTTTGGACTTTGCTTCTTTCTATCACTAAGAGATGTTGTGTAAGAGTTTAGTTTCTAGGACTCTCCCATGTCAGAGATAGCTGGAGTTTGACCTTATGTAGAAAAAGAATGGTTAGCCTTTT